CTGCCTGCCAACCCGCCGTAGGGAAAAAGTGTCACTCTTCTTCAAATAATGACTTTAACGAGAGGAATAATGGACATATTATGCTTTTCACGACATATTTGACGCTTTGAACAACTGCCACACTGTGTAGGAGGTCTCTGTGTGTTATATTAAGCAGTGGTAGAGTCTAGCTTTGATGACAAAGGTCCAACACTCTGCTCCAGCTGGGACATGACAACACGAGAATGTAAACAAACAGCCTCAGCCGCCTCGCTTGGCTCGTTATCTCACCTGTACTGTACATTGTTCCTCTGATACACTGTTACAATGTTACACTGTTCTACTGATACACTATCACATGCCGTACTTGTGTAGTGTTATACTAGTCACGATCACACTGATACACTGTCACACTGTACTGGTATATGGCCGCTACTCCATCACCAACCCTAAGATAATCAAACCTCATAATCCACGTGTTCAAGCATCTGATGGGCCAGGAAACTGTAAATCAGGATTCTTACCGATTGTCCCCAAGAGAGACACACACATACAGAATCATTAGGTATTTCTCTCAGTCTTGTCAGCTAGGTCCAACTGGCTCACAGACAACCAGGCAAAGAGGGTGACTGGTATCTACTCTGTCTTAACTTGGGGTACGTGACGCTAAGACCGTGTGACTGGAAGACTGTCTCAACCTGACTGTGATACGTGACCTCAAGACCGTGTGACTGGAAGACTGTCTCAACCTGTCTGTGATACGTGACGCTAAGACCCTGTGACTGGAAGACTGTCTCAACCTGTCTGTGATACGTGACGCTAAGACCGTGTGACTGGAAGACTCTCAACCTGTCTGTGATACGTGACCTCAAGACCGTGTGACTGGAAGACTATCTGTGATGCAGCACTTAAGACCCTGTGATGGAAGACTTGCTCTCAACCTGTCATGATACGTGACCTCAAGACCGTGTGACTGGAAGACTGTCACAACCTGTCTGTGATACGTGACCTCAAGACCGTGTGACTGGAAGACTGTCTCAACCTGACTGTGATACGTGACCTCAAGACCGTGTGACTGGAAGACTGTCTCAACCTGTCTGTGATACGTGACGCTAAGACCCTGTGACTGGAAGACTGTCTCAACCTGTCTGTGATACGTGACGCTAAGACCGTGTGACTGGAAGACTGTCTCAACCTGTCTGTGATACGTGACCTCAAGACCGTGTGACTGGAAGACTGTCACAACCTGTCTGTGATACGTGACCTCAAGACCGTATGACTGACTGTAGTGGACTGTCTCTCGTTAAGTGAAGGTATTAGGTAGATCTTGATAAGGATTATTTCACATGACTTGACCAGCTTGAGACGGTGACCCCTGTGTGTGTATCAACTGTCGCTTTAAAAGACTCACCTCGTGGTTTATGTATTGCAGTTTGGGGACAGAATATTTCACGTGTGTTGGATCTGTTCTAATGGGTGTTGTCCGAGGTGTTGTCTGGGTAGTCGAGGTGTCGTGTTTTGTGAATGAGTCTGTGTAGTGTTGTATCTCTTGTAGTTAAGTTATGCCGGGTCACCTGAGGATTAGACTCCCCAGCTTATTTCACCTGATTAGACGGCTCAGCTTATTTCACCGATGATTAGACACCTCAGCTTATTTCACCTGATGATTAGACAACTCTGGCTTATTTCACCTGATGATTAGACACCTCTGAAAACTGCTGCACGATCAGAACACCTCAGCTTATTTCACCTGTGATTAAACATTCCTAACGCTGCCTGGGGTTAGGATAGAGTGTCCAATCATTAGGTGAAATCATCAGGTGAAATAAGCTGAGGTGTCTAATCATTAGGTGAAATAAACTGAGGGTGTCCAATCAGGTGAAATAAATCAACAGGTGACTCATTATGAATTATATTTGTTTGGTCAGTGTTTACGTCACAGTGGTGCAGGTTTTATAAAGGGAATAAATTATTTCCTCACCTTACAGACAGACAGACTTACGGGTGTTAATAATTCCTAGAAAGCTTGTTGATGTTACCTGTTGCCTCGTTGTGTGTGTGTGTGTTTGTGTGTGTGTGTGTGTGTGTGTGTGTTTGTGTGTGTGTGTGTGTGTGTGTGTGTGTGTGTGTGTGTGTGTGTGTGTGTGTGTGTGTGTGTGTTGTGTGTGTGTTTGTGTGTGTGTGTGTGTGTGTGTGTGTGTGTGTGTGTGTGTGTGTGTGTGTGTGTGTGTGTTTTGCACTTGGTTGTAATCTGTAACTTTTTGCCCAGTCATTTTGAACCATTTTGAAAAGTTTACGCAAATTATATTAACGTGGATGCAATTTTTTTTTATTTTAATTTGGTATGTTGTCTTGTTAATAAAACTATCTGTCCGCCACACACACACACACAGACAGACACACACTCAGACACACACACAGACAGACACACACACAGACAGACGCACACTCAGACACACACACTCAGACACACACACAGACAGACACACACTCAGACACACACACAGACAGACACACACACAGATACACACACAGATACACACACAGACACACACACAGATACACACACAGACACACACACAGATACACACACAGACACACACACAGATACACACACAGATACACACACAGACACACACACATCATTCATATAACAGTTTTCCCCAGTCTAATTCTATACTGCTTCTAAACTGACTCTTTGATCCCTTCCTGTATTGTTAAGTCAGCTCCACTATTTTGCCTGAAGTGACGACAGCGAAGGTTTATAGCATTGAGGCTTACGTGTGTTTAGATTTTCCCGAGTATTTCATAGATATTCGAGTTTAATTTCTCTTGTGTTGACTGTCGTGGCTAGGAATGTGAGCAGTTAGGTGAGGTTAGGTTAGGTTTTGTTAGGTTAGGTTAACTCAACTGTTCTGTAATATGACACCCGACACACGTGACTGAAAGCGTGGAGCTGACTGTCTGAACCCGTGTGATATGTGACACCCGACACACGTGACTGAAAGCGTGGAGCTGACTGTCTGAACCCGTGTGATATGTGACACCCGACACACGTGACTGATAGCGTGGAGCTGACTGTCTGAACCCGTGTGATATGTGACACCCGACACACGTGACTGATAGCGTGGAGCTGACTGTCTGAACCCGTGTGATATGTGACACCCGACACACGTGACTGATACCCCTCGTGTTGACATTTACAAAGTGTCTGAAGATATGGAACTGTAGGTCCGCGTGACACCAGACCCACGTGACACGGATTGGCTGTCTTAACCCGTCAGGAGTTAATTGACACCAAACCCACGTAACTAAGACCCCGAGACGAGTGGTTAATGTTTAGTAAGGGAACTATAACTTTGACCACTGTACTGAGTTAAATTTGTTAAAATATTGAGTTAAAAACGTTTCTATACCGAGTTAAAAGCGATTATATACCGAGTTCAACGTTTCTATACCGAGTTAAAACGTTTCTATACCGAGTTAAAACGTTTCTATACCGAGTTAAAACGTTTCTATACCGAGTTAAACGTTTCTATACCGAGTTAAAACGTTTCTATACCGAGTTAAACGTTTCTATACCGAGTTAAAACGTTTCTATCGAGTTTAAACGTTTCTATACCGAGTTAAAACGTTTCTATACCGAGTTACAAACGTTTCTATACCAAGTTACAGAGACTAGGAGAGAGAGAGAGAGAGAGAGAGAGAGAGAGAGAGAGAGAGAGAGAGAGATACATCAAGGAGCCAATATTTGAATGTCTTGTCTCTTCATCAGGCTTCACTACAAAGGTCCACTTCAAACCTCTCGTTCACGGCACAGCTCCCTCCCGCCTCACTTGACCTACCTTAAAGAACGTCATCCTATTGAGGGTGTTAGACTATAAGACGCTGTAGCATAAACTGACTGACTTGACTTGACTCTTTTTCTTTCACTGTGTTGACTGACTCACTGATTGCTTGATTGATTGGCTGACTGATTGATTGAAAGACTGTCTGATTGAGGGACTGAGTGACTGGCTGACTGAATGACTGACGGGGTTAAGAAGTGTGTGAGATTGATTGGTTTACTGAGAGAACTTTCTGAGTGATAGATAGACAGATTGATTGATTGATTGATGAATAGATAGATGAATTGATGGATGGATGGAATAGCCACTTGAGGTGAGATTCGAACCCTTGTACCAAGGATTGGATACCAAGACTCCCCCGACCACAACACCGACACAACACCTCGCTTATTTAACTCACCTGTGGATGTTGCTGATGACATAAGACAGAACCTTAACTTATAGGCATTGATGATTCCATATCTTAACGTTAACCTAACCTAACGTAACACTAACCTAACGTTAACCTGACCTAACCTAACGCTAACCTAACCTAATGCAAAGCTAACCTAACCTAACGTAACACTAACCTAACGTTAACCTAACGTTAACCTGACCTAACCTAACGCTAACCTAACCAAATGCAAAGCTAACCTAACACTAACCCAACGTTAACCTAACCTAACATCACCCCCCCCCAAGGCAGCGTTAGGGTGTTTAATCCTCAGGTGAGATAAAATGTAAGGTGTTTAATTATCTTCAGGTGAACCAATACACATTACATAGATAATTTATATAAATAGATAAACAATAAGATAGATATATTTACTTATACTTTTATAGAGAACAAAAATATATAAATTTACTTAAGGGATATATATTATACATAGAGATATATAGTGATTTATATACTTTAATGAAGATAGATATAGATAAGTATATTAGTTGAGGTGGATGAATGATTAGATAGAGGTATAAAAACGTAGACAGGTATATAGGTAAAGTGATATAGACAGGAGAGGGAGAAAGGTGTATGTGGGGGAGATTGAGACAGAGAGACAGGTAGAGAGACAGATAAAAGTAGAGAGAGAGACAGGTAGAGAGACAGAGGGAGAGAGAGAGAGAGACAGGTATAGAGACAGATAAAAGTAGAGAGAGAGACAGAGACAGAGAGAGAGGGGGGGGGGCACTTACCTTTCTACAGTCGACTGATTACTGTAAGGTCACCATGATAGCTTCAGTCATCGTCCACTCAGTCATCATCCAGGGAGGACTCAGGTCTTCTCATAGTTCCTCATAATGTCAACAAACACCCATGACCAAACAGATGTTTTTTTATGTATGGATGTTTACTTCTGTTTTTTTTATTAATTTCTTTAAGAGTTCTGTTTTGATTCGTTGATTGTCATTATCCAAACACCAAGGTATAGTCGTTGAGGTATGAGTGTTTTTTGACGTGTTTTTTGTGTTTTTATTTAGTGTTTTTGCTTTGATTCATAAAGTCTAAATTTTTTTTTTTTTTAAACCGGAGATCAAATGTTTATTTTTTTATAGAGTTTTTCGGTGTTTAGTGCTGTTTGTTTTCGCTTATTTCTTCTTGTCGTTTATTTCAGGTGTTAATTAACCCGACCGAGGCTATGTTCGTAATGTTTCTCGCTTCGTAAACTGTAAAATGTTCAAAATTACACTAAAAATCAAGCGCGTTTTTTTTTTAATTCGGTAAGTCAGATGTGAGTTTTTTTCTTTTTGTTTGTAATTAACAGGTAAAAATCACCTCAATATTGCCATGTTTTTCACGTATTTTTAGACACCTGTATGTAGGGTTATTGTGTTTTTCTTGTGTATGTATATATGTATGTATGTATGTATGTATGTATGTATGTATGTATGTTTTGCTTGCTTGTTTGTGTATTCATCATCAACTACAATATGTAAATAAAAAATAATTCAAATAAATTACGACAACTTTGACTAAATTTAAGGGAAATAATTATGTTCGTATATCTGACATGCCCGAGCAGCTGATGACGTCACAGGAGGTATAGGTGTTGCAGTGGCGTTCTGTGGTGATAAATATTTGGGTTTTGGGGTCAATATACAGTAAAACTACAACCCCTAATGGTGGATGGAGAGGGAGGAGGTAGACCAATCATGAGGCTTTCTGTGCGGAGGCCTTGACCAATCATGAGCCATTCTGTACAGAGGCCTTGACCAATCATGAGCCATTCTGTACAGACATAGACCAAATCACGAGCTATTATGTAAAGAAAAATAATGCGGGAATTTTAATATATTTCTTCAATACTTTATATAGACTATGTGCCCTAGCTTAGATATTTGTCCATGTATTAAAAAGAATAGAAAAATATATTGATAAAGTACCAGGAATAGATAGTGTTTACTTAACTAAGACCATGATATAAAAATAGTCTCTTTTCTTTCTATAGTATAAAAACCCCAAGAAATATATACCGTTTACAGGTACATAATGTATCTGGTACTGTTGAATACAAAATTAACAGTTACCTAATACAAAAACCTGTTGTTAACACTCAGTAAACGGGTGATGTGAAGCGGCGTTGGTGTGAATACAGTTGATTGATATTGAAATAAATTAATGTGGAAAAAATAATAACTGGCAACGTTTTATTTCCGTGTGTGTGTGTTGGAGTGAGTGAGGGAGAGAGTGTTGGAGTAAGAGAGAGAGAGTGTTGGAGTGAGTGAGGGAGAGAGTGTTGGAGTGAGTGAGAGTGTTGGAGTGAATAGTGTTGGAGGAGGTAGAGTGTTGGAGAGTTTGGAGGAGAGGTAGAGAGTGTTGGGTGAGAAGAGTGTTGGAGGGAGGAGAGTGTTGGAGTAGTGAGAGTGTTGGAGTGAAGAGTGTTGGAGTGGTGAAGAGAGTGTCCCAGGTGAGGAGAGTGTTGGAGGGAGAGAGTGTTGGAGTGAGGGAGGGAGAGAGGGAGTGTTAGCGTGGTCAGCAGTCTGTCTTTCTCCACCAGACTGTCAACTTCTCACATCTTCAACTCTTCAAAAACTACTCCCTCAATTTTGCTCCAACTTTCCCCCACAGAAAATATCAGTGGATGACTCTCATTCAAAAGTGGTCCTGACGTCAGTGTGTGTGTCCCCTCCCCCCCCCTCACCAAGATGGCTGCTCTCACTCTAAAAAGGAAAAAAAATAAGAGTTCGTTTCAATATAGTCACGTATATAATTTATTTCACCTGATGATTGAACACCCTATTATTAACCTAATCTAACGCTAATCTAACTTAACACTAATTTAATTTAACCTAACGCTAAACTGACTTAACCTTACGCTAATCTAACCTAACACTAATTTAATCTAACCTAACGCTAATTTAATCTGACACTAATTTAATCTAACCTAACGCTAACCTGACTTAAACTATTTTGACGCTAATCTAACTTAACACTAATTTAATTTAACCGAACGCTAATCTAACCTAACACTAATTTAATCCAACTAAACACTAATCTGACTTAACCTAACACTAATTTAATCTAACCTAACACTAATTTAATCTAACCTAACGCTAATCTGACTTAACCTAACACTAATCTAAATTAAGCTAATCCCCCAGGTAACGTAAGTTTGTTTAATCATCAGGTGAAATAGACTGTGATTTAACCCTTTGATGACGATGATTTGACCCTTTGATGACGATGATTTGACCCTTTGAGGACGATGATTTGACCCTTTGATGACGATGATTTGACCCTTTGAGGACGATGATTTGACCCTTTGAGGACGATGATTTGACCCTTTGAGGACGATGCCTTAACCCTTTGAGGACGATGCTTTAACCCCCTGACGACGATTCAACCCTTTGAGGACAATGCTTAAACCCTTTGAGGACAATGCTTAAACCCTTTGAGGACGATACTTTAACCCCTTGAGGACGATTCCTTAACCCTTTGAAGACGCTGGTTTAATCTTTTCGTCGTCAATGGGTTTAACTTGTGGCAGAGTTCACAGGATGATGGTGGAGCCTCGCGGGCATCTTGTTATTGTCTCGCGGTAACCCGGAATTATGCCTGGGGGGGGGGGGCAATATTAGGGTATTTTTTATTATTTTTTTTATTATTCTCTGCTACGCCCTCCTTCTCCTCCTCTCAGCTTTAAACTAAAAATTAACAACTTTAATTTTAACCTAACCTAACCCGGAGTGAGGCCAAGATTGAGCTGGTCGCCTGGAGGGAGGGGGCCAATTAAGGCTATTTTTAACTATTTTTTTGTTTTCAAAGGTGATATGAATATTCTCTCCCACGCCCTACACCCTCTAGCTTTATTTCAATTAAAGATTAACAACCCTACAGTTAACTTGACCTAATTGTGAACTTACCTATTCTATTCTTGCCTAAGGTAATGCTAACTAACCTAATCTAACCTACCGTCCCTAACCTAACCCAATCTAAATAACCCCTAACGCAATCTAACCTAACCTAACACAATCTAAATAACCCCTAACACAACCTAACCTAACCTAACCCACCCTACCCTTCCTAACCCAACCCAACTCTAATTCCCCACATACCTTTAGGGTGGTTAATCATCAGGTAAAATAAACAAGGGTGTCTAATCTTCATGTCAACCCAATTTAACCTCCAACGACCAGCTAACACATTAGGACTTAGAGTACAACTTTACTATATACATAAAATAAATAATGTTTGTAGAATTTTCACTGAGTTGTTGTAGTTGACCTTTTGTTTGAGGCTTACAATACAGATAATATGTCAGTTTCATCTGTCAGTTTCATCCATTATGTCAGTTTCATCTGTTATGTCAGTTTCATCTGTTATGTCAGTTTCATCTGTTATTCCAGTTTCATCCATTATGTCAGTTTCATTTATTATATCTTCTTCATATGTTGTCAGTTTCATCTATTAGCTGTGTCAGTTTCATCTATTATGTCAGTTTCATCTATTAGCTGTGTCAGTTTCATCTATTAGCTGTGTCAGTTTCATCTATTAGCTGTGTCAGTTTCATATGTTGTCAGTTTCATCTATTGGCTGTGCCAGTTTCATCTATTAGCTGTGTCAGTTTCATCTATTGGCTGTGTCAGTTTCATCTATTAGCTGTGTCAGTTTCATCTATTAGCTGTGTCAGTTTCATCTATTAGCTGTGTCAGTTTCATCTATTAGTTATGTCAGTTTCATCTATTGGCTGTGCCAGTTTCATCTATTAGTTATGTCAGTTTCATCTATTAGCTGTGTCAGTTTCATCTATTAGCTGTGTCAGTTTCATCTATTGGCTGTGCCAGTTTCATCTATTAGCTGTGTCAGTTTCATCTATTAGCTGTGTCAGTTTCATATGTTGTCAGTTTCATCTATTGGCTGTGTCAGTTTCATCTATTAGTTATGCTGCTTCATCTATTAGCTGTGTCAGTTTCATCTATTAGCTGTGTCGTTTTAATCTATTGCTGTGCCAGTTTCATCCATTAGCTGTGTCAGTTTCATCTATTAGCTGTGTCAGTTTCATCTATTAGTTATGTCAGTTTCATCTATTGGCTGTGCCAGTTTCATCTATTAGCGTTATGTCAGTCATCTATTAGCTGTGTCAGTTTCCATCTATTAGCTGTGCTCGCTTCATCTATTAGCTGTGCCTGCTTCATATGTTGTCAGTTTCATCTATTGGCTGCGTCAGTTTCATCTATTGGCTGTGTCAGTTTCATCTATTGGTCAGCTGTGTCAGTTTCATCTATTAGTTATGTCAGTTTCATCTATTGGCTGTGCCAGTTTCATCTATTGGCTGTGCCAGTTTCATCTATTAGCTGTGTCAGTTTCATCTATTGGCTATGTCAGTTTCATATGTTGTCAGTTTCATCTATTAGTTATGTCAGTTTCATCTATTGGCTGTGCCAGTTTCATCTATTAGCTGTGTCAGTTTCATCTATTAGCTATGTCAGTTTCATATGTTGTCAGTTTCATCTATTAGTTATGTCAGTTTCATCTATTGGCTGTGTCAGTTTCATCTATTAGTTATGTCAGTTTCATCTATTAGCTGTGTCAGTTTCATCTATTAGTTATGTCAGTTTCATCTATTAGCTGTGTCAGTTTCATATGTTGTCAGTTTCATCTATTGGCTGTGTCAGTTTCATCTATTAGCTGTGTCAGTTTCATCTATTAGTTATGTTAGTTTCATCTATTAGCTATGTCAGTTTCATATGTTGTCAGTTTCATCTATTAGTTATGTCAGTTTCATCTATTAGTTATGTCAGTTTCATCTATTAGCTGTGTCAGTTTCATCTATTAGTTATGTCAGTTTCATCTATTAGCTATGTCAGTTTCATCTATTAGCTATGTCAGTTTCATCTAATATCAGTTTATCTATTATGTCAGTTTCATCTGTTATTCCAGTTTCATCTATTATGCCAGTTTCATCTTTTAGCTGTGTCATTTTCACCTATTAGCTGTGTCAGTTTCATCTATTAGCTGTGCCAGTTTCATCTGTTAGCTGTGTCAGTTTCATCTATTAGCTGTGCCAGTTTCATCTATTAGCTGTGCCAGTTTCATCTATTAGTTATGTCAGTTTCATCTATTGACTGTGTCAGTTTCATCTATTAGCTGTGTCAGTTTCATATGTTGTCAGTTTCATCTATTAGCTGTGTCAGTTTCATCTATTAGTTATGTCAGTTTCATCTATTAGCTGTGTCAGTTTCATCTAATGCCAGTTTCATCTATTAGCTGTGTCAGTTTCATCTATTAGCTGTGTCAATTTCATCTATTAGTTATGTCAGTTTCATCTATTAGCTGTGTCAATTTCATCTATTAGCTGTGTCAGTTTCATCTTTTAGCTGTGTCAGTTTCATTTATTAGCTGTGTCAGTTTCATCTTTTAGCTGTGTCAGTTTCATCTAATGCCAGTTTCATCTATTAGCTGTGTCAGTTTCATCTATTAGCTGTGTCAGTTTCATCTATTGTCAGTTTCATCTATTAGCTGTGTCAGTTTTCATCTATTAGCTGTGTCAGTTTCATCTATTAGCTGTGTCAGTTTCATCTATTGGCTGTGTCAGTTTCATCTATTAGCTGTGTCAGTTTCATCTATTGGCTGTGTCAGTTTCATCTATTAGTTATGTCAGTTTCATCTATTGGCTGTGTCAGTTTCATCTATTAGCTGTGTCAGTTTCATCTATTGGCTGCGTCAGTTTCATCTATTAGTTATGTCAGTTTCATCTATTAGCTGTGTCAGTTTCATCTATTGGCTGTGTCAGTTTCATCTATTAGCTGTGTCAGTTTCATCTATTAGCTGTGTCAGTTTCATCTGTTATGTCAGTTTCATCTATTAGCTGTGTCAGTTTCATCTATTAGCTGTGTCAGTTTCATCTATTGGCTGTGTCAGTTTCATCTATTGGCTGTGTCAGTTTCATCTATTAGCTGTGTCGGTTTCATCTATTGGCTGCGTCAGTTTCATCTATTAGCTGTGTCAGTTTCATCTATTGTCAGTTTCATCTATTGACTTATTGACCGGTTTCATCTATTAGCTGCGTCCAGTTTCATCTAATGGCTGTGTCCAGTTTCATCTGTTATGTCAGTTTCATCTATTAGCTGTGTCAGTTTCATCTATTAACATTGTCAGTTCATCTATTGGCTGTGTCAGTTTCATCTATTGGCTGTGTCAGTTTCATCTATTGGCTGTGTCAGTTTCATCTATTGGCTGCGTCAGTTTCATCTATTGGCTGTGTCAGTTTCATCTATTGGCTGTGTCAGTTTCATCTATTGGCTGTGTCAGTTTCATCTGTTATGTTCGTTTCAACTATATGTCAGTGTCTCAGTTCACATTACAAGACAGTTTCACATTACATGAATTAGCAATATATGAGTATATAAAACTTTCACAACACACTTAACACACCTTTGATTCACAACACACTTAACACACCTTTGATTCACAACACACTTAACACACCTTTTATTCACAACACACTTATCACACCTGACATATTCACAACACACTTAACAGTTTCACAACAACACTTAACAGTTTCACAACACACTTAACAGTCTCACAACACACTTAACAGTTTCACAACACACTTAACAGTCTCACAACACACTTAACAGTTTCACAACACACTTAACAGTTTCACAACACACTTAACAGTCTCACAACACACTTAACAGTCTCACAACACACTTAACAGTTTCACAACACACTTAACAGTCCTTCACAACACACTTAACAGTTCCACAACACACCTCTAACAGTTTCAAACACACTTAACAGTTTCACAAACAGTTTAACAGTCCTCACAACACACGACAGCCCCACAACACACCCAACAGTTTCACAACACACTTCTAACAGTCTCACAACACACTCTAACAGTTTCACAACACACTTAACAGTTTCACAAACACATCTAATAGTCTCACAACACACTTAACAGTCTCACAACACACTAACAGTCTCTGCAACACACTTAACAGTCTCACAACACACTTTGGCTCTTCACAACATAATTAACAGTCTCACAACATAATTAACAGTCTCACAACACACTTAACAGTCTCACAACACACTTAACAGTTTCACAACACACTTAACAGTTTCACAACACACTTAACAGTCTCACAACACACCTAACAGTTTCACAACACACTTAACAGTCTCACAACACACTTAACAGTTTCACAACACACTTAACAGTTTCACAACACACTTAACAGTCTCACAACACACTTAACAGTCTCACAACACACTTAACAGTCTCACAACACACTTAACAGTTTCACAACACACTTAACAGTTTCACAACACACTTACCAGTTTCACAACACCTAACAGTTTCACAACACACTTAAACAGTCTCACAACACACTTAACAGTCTCACAACACACTTAACAGTTTCACAACACACCTAACAGTTTCACAACACACCTAACAGTCTCACAACACACTTAACAGTTTCACAACACACCTAACAGTTTCACAACACACCTAACAGTTTCACAACACCTAACAGTTTCACAACACCTAACAGTTTCACAACACACCTAACAGTTTCACAACACACCTAACAGTTTCACAACACCTAACAGTTTCACAACACACTTAACAGTTTCACAACACACCTAACAGTTTCACAACACACCTAACAGTTTCACAACACCTAACAGTTTCACAACACACCTAACAGTCTCACAACACACTTAATTTAAGTGTTTCACTCACTACCAGAACGAACTTGTTTCCTCTTCGTAAGGACAGCGATTTCGGAGCTGAGTGGGTAAGTGTGTGTGTGGGCGTAGGTGCGTGTGTGAGTACGTGTGTGGGTGCGTGTGTGTGGGCGTGGGCGTGGAGCACTACACTAGTCCGTCACTAAGGGTGGTCACAGGGCGGGTACTGTACAGGTGCCTCGCCTCTAAGACCTTCATACCTCGGCAGGGTACCAGGCTCTGACACCGTCCCACCTTCCGGCAGCGGTACCGTCGTGGTACCCCGGCAACAGGAGGTACCCACCGCCAGGTATGGAGGGAGGTACTTCCAACGTTTGGTAAACATCATACAAAACTTACACCTGTCCGCCAGGGGTCGAATTCCTTGTGTTGTTTTTTTGTTTTACATTTTCATTTAGAAAACCCTTGGGCTCGGCGCACCTAGCCCTGGCCATCCGTACACTGGATGCCGGTACGGGAAAACGTTCGTCAGTGTTGTCGTTTTTCGGGTTTGTGCTACACAAGTGGAAATTTGGCGACACGTTGGTGGGAGGCAGAAAGGCGGAGCGGCGCAGCCTTACCCGACGACGGTCTGAGCCACACTGAAGGTCGGTGCATGAGACGGTGGCTGTGGCTCCCTATACTCTCTACCCTCCCTGCCCCCTCATCACCCTCCTCTCTCTACCCTCCCTGCCTCTATCACCCTCCTCTCCCTTCCCTCCCCACCACGACGAACCAGAACCACCTCCACTACCTACCACCTCTACTATCACTACCTACCACCTCTACTACCACTACCTACCACCTCTACCAACACTACCTACCACCTCTACCACCACTACCTACCACCTCTACCACCACTACCTACCACCCCACCACCACCCTCCAACCCAACCACCCACCACCCCACCACCACCACCCACCACCCCACCACCACCACCCACCACCCCACCACCACCACCCACCACCCCACTACCACCACCCACCACCCCACCACACCACCACCACACCACCACCACCACCCACCACTACCACCTCCACCACCCACCAACTCACCACCACCACCCACCACCCCCACCACAAACCCACCACTCCCCACCACCACCACCACTCTCCACCACTTCACCAACTCCACCAACACCCCCACCACTACCACCACCACCCACCAACCCCACCACCACCACCCCAACCCCCCACCACCACCACCACCCCCACCACCACCACCCACCACCCCACCAACCCCACCACCACCAACACCACCCACCAACCCACCACCACCCCACCACCACCACCCACCAACCCCACCACCACCACCCACCACCACCACCACCACACCACCCCACCACCACCACCCACCACCCCCACCACCACCACCACACCACCACCCCACCACCACCACCACACCACCCACCACCACCACCCCACTACCACCACCAACACCTCTACTACCACTACCTACCACCTCTACCACCACTACCTACCACCTCTACTACCACTACCTACCACCTCTACCACCACTACCTACCACCTCTACCACCACTACCTACCACCACTACCTACCACCTCTACTACCACTACCTACCACCTCTACTACCATCTTAGCTATTGTACCTAACACTTGTACTGCAACTACCTATCAACACACACACACACACACACCTGAACTTTATACATACATACATACATACATACATAATCCGAGTAACCTAATTTCCATATACTATTTAAATCATTAGTGTCACACCTAAGCCCTTGAGTACGATGATTTAATCCCTTGAGGCGTAATAATAATAATAATAATAATAATAATAATAATAATAATAATAATAATAATAATAATAATAATATTAATAATCAATAGTGACAAATTTTTCTTCTATATTGTTGTCGTTCTTCTCATTTCTCATCATCATCATCATCATCATCATCATCATCATCATCATCATCATCATTACTAATTTTATTCCTATTACTATTATCATTACTTCTCTTCCTCACTAAAACTCTCTGTGCTCAGTTATTTACACATTAAACCTCATTAAAGCGGTGTAGTTTTACCTGTACCCCGCCCCTCACCTGTCTCATCTCGTTAACACCTGGTACCGTGTTTACTCATCCCGGGGCGGCGAGGAGAGGAGTGTGGTTTTTGCTTAGCGCTGCCCACTTTGTACTGTACTCTTTATGTCGGTAATGTCTGTTTTTGTTTGCAGTTTAGTTGTTGTTCTTGTTTTAGTTTTTGTTGTTGTTATTGTTGTTGTTTTAGTTATTATTATTGTTATTATAAGTTTATTTCAATTATCAGTAGTAGTCGCAGTAGGATATAACTTATTTCGATTGTATATATTATTACACACACACACACACACACACAAACACACACACACACACACACACACACACCTAAAAGAAATCCAAACCCAACAAATTATATTAAAAAAGTTGCTCAGGTAAAATATATCTCTCTTACGACACACTCACTCGGCAGCCATCGTGAGGGCAGGGTTAAGACACTCGCTATTACTCTGTATATGTTTGTGTGCCGTGGTGTTTTATCTCTTGTTTTATTTTGTGTTTTATTTTGTGTTTTGTTGTGTTGTTGTTTATCAGTTGTTTGTATGTACTGAATATGTTGTTGTTTACTTATGTATACGTATGAATGAGTATTTTAGTTTGTATGTGTTCTGTATGTATGTATGTATGTATGTATGTATGTATACAAGACAACCGCACCTGTGTCGACGATGTGCAAGGCCCATTATATTAAGGTGTATCCCCGGACGATCGGACACGAGGTCACTGCACTGGCTAACTGTTGCCTCCGGTCCTAAGTGCTTTACTCGGTGCACACAGAGACAGACTTGGGCAGAGAAAGTTTGACAGTGCTTTCACTCTGCCCCGGGGATCGAACTTGGGGCCATTAGCGTGCAAAGCGAGTATATTGGTCACTGCACCACACACGTACATAACTAAATACTCTGGCATACATACATACATACATACATACATACATACATACATACATACATACATACATAGAAATGTGTTTACGTTTTCATGCCTAAGTCCATTTAGGTAGATTTACAGACAGACAGACAGACAGACAGACAGACAGACAGACAGAGAGATACACTTTCTTGTGTTAAGTACTCAAGAAAGTGTCATAAGTATATTAAGTACCCGAGAAAGTGTTATAAGTGCATTAAGTACCCGAGAAAGTGCCATAAGTGTATTAAGTATCCAAAAAAGTGCCAAAAATGTATTAAGTACCCAAGAAAGTGTCATAAGTGCATACAGTACTCAAGAAAGTATCATAGATATATTAATCACCCAAGAAAGTACCAAACGTAATTTTTTTTTTTAATCTAGAAAGTGTCGTCAAGTAACTCCGGTCTAAAAATGAATGAAAAGAAAGCAAAGAAAGAAAGAGAAAGTGCCACACGGTAAAAGAACTTTCCTCTGTAGCTCCTCTTCCTCACACGGGCGGGCCAGGCACCTTATGAATGTATAATCATATGCAAATTGATCTATCGATATTACAGTAGTGTGGGCAATGCCTCCCCTCGTTACGTCGTCTAATTCCTGAGCTAACTTGGGGGTCTTTTGACTCTTGTGTGCCTTTGAGAGTGAGAGTGGGAGTGAGAGAGAGTGAAAGAAGGATGGAGGAAGGAAAGTGAGAGGGAGAGGGAGAAAGGAGAGTGAGAATATGTGAAAGAAGATAGAGAGAGAAAGGAAAGAGAGGGAAAGAGACACAACTCAAACAATCTCTCTCTCTCTCCCTCTCTCTCTCTCTTTCTCTCTCTCTAGGTGCAGCTTCTTAGTGTTGTAAACTCATGTAAACAAGAGACTGTTTTCACATCTCCCCAAAGCCAGACAAGAGGCAGAAAAATATTTAAAAAAAATCAAATAAAAAATAATAATAAAAAAGCCTGAATGCCCCCAAGAGAGAGAATTTATTAACTTCTATTGTTTAGTAGGAAAATAAATATCAACTTTTTTTTTCCAGGCAATGAATTATTTTGTTAATTTTTTTTTCCATCAGGGGAATTAAGTAAAAAATTATTTAAAGTACCTTACGACTTTTAAGGGGTAAAGTAATTACATTCTCTCGTTATTATGACGTCAGCAGTATACGAACAATGTAAACACAACCAAACAATGTACACAAACAACCAAAGTAAACAACCAAACAATGTAAACAACCAAACAATGTCTCCTCAACTCTTCGTGTTCATTTCCAGGTTGGTGAGTTTGAGTGGGCGTGTCTCGGCCTCCAGTCAGTCTACCAGTCAGTCACTCGGTAAGTCAGTCATTCATTCGTTCAGTCAGTCAGCTAGTTCATTAAATTCCTCCTCATGCATTTAGTCATTCAGTCAATCCCTCTTCACACAGTTAGTCAGTCAGTCTGGCAGTCAGTCAGTTCCAACCTTACCAGTCGTTCCAATCGTTCCAGTTGTTCCAATCGTTCCAGTCGTTCCAATCGTTCCAGTCGTTCCAATCGTTCCAGTTGTTCCAATCG